GATCGAGCGTCGATTGAATGGAATTTTCCGAGTGAAGTTATTCTCTTCGTTAACTTGAATTTTATAAATTCAAAATTATTTGGATTACAGTTTAGATTGAAAGTTTTTGAAAAAGAATGGATCCTCTTGTAATATCAATTGATTCTTCGTTCTTCGTTATAAAATAACTTCTAAAGTGGAAATTGATAAAAATTTTCCCAGTATATAAATTTTGTTACACGAGATTAATTTATCATTGATTCGAAGAGAAGCGTTCTTAAATTCACGAAGGAATCGAAGAAAGAAAGAAAGAAAAACTAAACTCATTGTTTGCGCTAATTCCAACCAGGTGAAACTGCCAAGAAGAATGGCTGGCCTAACGAGATCAAGGTCGGTCTGATCGGGTCTTGCACGAACAGCTCTTACGAGGACATGGGTCGTTGCGCTAATATCGCTAAGCAAGCCATCGAGAATGGATTAAAAGCGAAATCGGCGTTCAATGTCACGCCAGGTTCGGAACAAATTCGTGCCACGATCGAACGTGATGGAATAGTAAGTATACGTATATTTCTAGAACGATTCTTTGGTATAAGGATTGGATGGAACAGTTGCACACTTACTTTGAACCCGTGCCAGACATTGGTACATGTCACTTAACAACAAGTTACGCGACCCACGCCAATTCTTATTTTGGCTTCGATGTATTTTGACAATGGGAAAGGGAAAAAATAGTGACTTGTCGATTCTCGTGATCGGGGGATCACTGGGGGATGACAATGAGATCGATTCAGAACAATTAAGATACGTTTTAAAATTTAGCAAGGTTTAAAAAAAGAATATGAAAAATCTATTGGGGAGGGGAGATATTAAAAGCAAGAGATTATTAATCATTTTTCAATAATGCAAAATTTTAAGAGTGAAGCGATATATCAATACGATAAAATTATTTTAAAAATACCCATTTAAGGAAGTTAATTTAAGATTCTTTCGTTTAATTTAGGCCGAGATTCTTCGAGAATTCGGAGGCACCGTGTTGGCGAACGCTTGTGGGCCTTGCATCGGTCAATGGGATCGTAAAGACATCAAGAAGGGTGATAAGAACACGATCGTCACTTCGTACAATCGTAATTTCACAGGTCGAAACGATGCCAATCCCGCGACACACGCTTTCGTCACCAGCCCTGAACTCGTCACTGCTCTTTCGCTCGCTGGCCGATTGGACTTTAATCCGGTCACCGATAAGCTCAAGGCCAAGGATGGAAAGGAATTCCTTCTTAAAGATCCGTTCGGTAAATACGACGTATTCGCATATTCGTGAATTATTTTATTACAAATATTCCACTGTTTATCGTGCGAACGAAATGTCAAACAATGGTCTAATTATCTTGAACTTGAATCACTTACGTGAATATCTAAGTAATGAATTAATCCATTATCAAGAATAATTAAGGATTAATTAAATGGACTTTTATTAATTCATACTTGATTTTTTTTTTTTTATTAGTCTGCAGATTAAATATGAATCACAACCTGCGCTGTTTGCTTCGTAATGAGATGTCTGCATATGATTTTGATATTGAATGAAACGTTGCTTATTTACAACGTTTATATTTAATTTTACTATTTATTTAACGAGGATCGAATCAGATTACGAAATATTTGATATAATTTTTGTTTTTGAAATTATTTAATTCAATTTGACGATGAGAGAAGACAGTGTAGTTTAATTATTTCACTCTGCGAGATAGATTTCATGGACAGGCAGCGAGAGATTGATAAAATATTCGTGAATCTATTTATTTATTTTTTTATGGAAAGAACAAAGTTCTTCCGTATCTTTGCCTGAAACAATTATTTCGATGATAAGTGTGTTTTTCGAACGAAACTCGTTTATATAATGAATATATGAAATATTTCACAATTATATTTTTTATATAGTAGCAATCTTCGAACGTTATTTTTCTTGGAAATGTACTTATTTAATTTTGATTATTTAATAACGAAAGAAGAAAAATGTTTTGAAACAATATTCAAATTTAATTTTAATATTTAAATTGAGATGATAAAAGATTAATTCGAAAATGGTTTAAAAATCGTAATTTACTGTAACTGTGGAGAAAAATGTAAAAAATTTTTCAATAAAATCGTACTATTCCAGGTGATGAACTTCCAAACCGGGGTTTCGACCCTGGCCAGGATACCTATGACGCTCCTCCAGCAGATGGCAGCAGTGTCAAAGTCGACGTGAACCCGAAGAGCGAGAGATTGCAATTATTAGAACCATTCGACAAATGGAACGGCAAAGATCTCACCGATTTGACCGTTTTAATCAAAGTCAAAGGGAAATGTACCACCGATCACATCTCGGCTGCTGGCCCATGGCTGAAATATCGTGGCCACTTGGACAATATTTCGAACAATATGTTCATTGGGTAAATTTGAAGATTGAAGATTTATATAATACATATATATTTCACGAATTTAACGAAACAGAGGAACCTTTCTTTCACGTTCAATTAATCTAATTTAAATATATTTCGATAAATTTTATAGAGCTGTGAATTCGGAAAATGGTGAAATGAACAAAATAAAGAACCAGCTTACTGGTGAGTGGGGTAAAGTTCCGGACGTTGCCAGACATTACAAGAAAAATGGCGTCAAATGGGTAGCAATTGGTGACGAAAACTATGGTGAAGGTTCGTCCCGAGAACACGCAGCTTTGGAACCGAGACACTTAGGTGGTCGTGCCATTATCGTTAAGAGTTTTGCCCGTATCCACGAGACCAATTTGAAGAAACAAGGATTGTTGCCTCTCACCTTTGCCAATGCTAGTGATTACGATAAGATTCAACCTACTGATAAGATCAGCCTTCTTGGATTAAAGGATTTGGCGCCTGGAAAAGTACGTTTTTATTAATGATTCGATTATCTTTCTCGCGATGAAAATAAGCCCACTTAGATTTTCTTATATATCGCAATGATTTAATCATTATTCATAATTTCTATTCATTCTTTTCGTATAAATTTCTCGTATGAAACATCCTTTATGTTTATCCTCGATTATTATTCAATTTATAGTTTATTTTTAGTTTTTAATTTTTCCACTATAATATACAACACGATATATTTGAATTTAAATTTGTCATCCGTATATAGTCGATTAAGAAACATTAAAAATATCTAACGTTAATATAGCTATCATTCTATTCAAGTATTCAAGGATATGAGGCAATCCTTAATTCCTATGTAACAATTTTTATCCATATCCTTTCTAGAATAAAAAAAAATCTTGGCTAACAACCAAATTTCCACTCAAAAGGTTCTATTTTGTCCTAACACGTTAATATCGTCATTCAACAAGTCGAGTCTAATCCTAATTTTTTCTCTTACAGCCCGTTCAAGCAGAAATCAAACACAAGGATGGCAAAGTGGACAAAATCACGTTAAATCACACGTTAAACGAGCAACAAATTTCCTGGTTCAAGGCAGGTTCAGCTCTAAACCGTATGAAGGAGATCGCCAGTGGACAGTAATCGCGTTCGTTCATCGAAGAAATTTCACATTTTCGAGAAAACGTGCACGATCTCGTAGTTAATTGTGTGTTTATCGATATCGATGCTAAGAATGGATACAGTATAACACACCAATCTTCCAGTTAGATTTACGTAAAATATTCGTCAAGATGAGGGCGCTTCGATCGTCGCTTCGATCGATATGGCGATCGATGAATAAGTTACTTAAAAACGAAGAGAAAGAAGAGGAGGAAAGAACGTGCAGTCATGCCAGATACTGGTGTGAGTTAACCAATACCTCAATAAATTCGTAATATTCGTCGTAAGATAACGAATGGAAGAAAACAACAACCGTGATGAACCGAGCCTGAGTGGAAAAATCGAAACACGAAGAATAATCTAGCTAATTTTCTAGTTGACGTCAGTTTATCTTAGAAAAGAATGGATCGTATCCTTCTTTAGACATTGTTACGCACTTGTATCACCGTTGAAAATCACGCGTTGAGATATTTTGTGTTTCGTACAAAACGCAATAGGAAATTTCCATCTGTCGATAAGGAAGACAATACAACTCGCACGTGTCGTTGTGTGTTCATTTTTAAATCGTGTACAGCCCCGACGATGGCATGTCGAGATTGCATATCTTCTTATCGGGCATGAATTTCGTTCTAGTTCGATAGAATCTTCTGTACATACTATGTATCGTTCGCAGTGTAGAACATGTCATGATTATACTATTTTCTAGATACGACTGATACAATCGAATGTAAGATTCGTTGTTATTGCATCAGAAAGAATAAAAAATTTTTCTGGACAGCGAATAATATTGTTTCGTTTATTTTATACAATATCGAACGTGCCTATTTTCGTGCCTATGATCGATGAAGAAAATATTTTATCATTTTCATTCGATGTATTCTTCGTTTCATATAATTTCAATGGTGTCTTTGATTTTGGAAAAATTGAAGTAGAAATATATTTTTTTTCTTTGATTTTTGATTACAGGAAAGATATTCTTTTTTTGAACTATAATTTCTTCAAATACTTATTTGACGAATTTTTATAAAAATAATAAATAATTTTTCTTGTTATTATCATTTGCTGATAAAGAGAAAAACTATTTTTTTCAAAAAGAATTATAAAATCATAATTCACAACGAATGAAATTTTAATTAATATTATGTTAATTTTCAACAAAATATTTTAAAATAATGATTGCCTAAGTTTTAATTATCAAAAACATATTTCTTAAAACGAATAAAAAAAAAAAAAAGAAGAATAGATATCAGAGACATCCAAACATCGTTTAAAATAATTTGAATTTAATTATTATATCACAAAATATTGAATAGAATTTTTGAAAAAACTAAAATAAAAGATAGGTATTAAACAATTTTTTAAAACTCTAAATAAATCACTGTGTCCAATAAATTCATTTAACCTCGAAATCAATGTAAACAATCGTTTAATTTCCGTATGAATTAAAATATTAAATAAAAAACGACTTACCTCTTTTTATAGAAGATGAAGATAAATCCAAGAAGATCCATGTTAAAACTGGCGAAGGATTATTTAATAGCAACGTATGATCTATGACATCAATGTTTTTTCCTCTGACGATCGATCGATGATAATCAGATATCCAAGCATGCACCGTGATTATGACAAAGCCTGGAACATCTGTAATTATGAATTATGAATTAAAATTGATTATGAAAATATTCAAATGAATACAAAATTTATATCGAAAAAAAAAATAATAAGCAATAAAAACTTTATATCACAATCAATACAGCATAATTATTTTACTATTATAAAATTATTTAGATTTCACAAATATTTAATAGTTAATAATAAAATCTAAATATTTTATAAAAATTCAACTTGTATAATTTTTTATTATTGAAGAAAAATTATTCCACTTTTGAAAGTAGAGTTGCTTTTACGTATTTAATTATCTATTATTCTAATATGATTTCTTATTCCTTAAACGTAATTCTTTAATTAAAAAATCCTATTTTTAATCATTATATCGATTCATGTGTCGTCTGTCTTTCATTTTCCGTATTTTCCACGATGTTAAATTTCATTCGTCAAGTTAAACGAGATTGCACACTTAGAAATTATTATCTTTCCATCCTCGTTTCCTCGATTCACGCTTCTACTCAATTCCTCCAAATATTTAATATCGCGTCAACATAGAGTTTAGCTGAATAATGCAAGCTGTTATATTAGATAACATGACTGACGCTTTCCTGACTGAAACTAAAAGAGAATATTCCATGTTATCTGCATCTTCTCACCGTTAAAATGAACCACATGTTACACAAAATCGAGGCGCATGCTTCGTTACCAGGACGACCGATTCGCCTAACCGTACACAAAACGTCCATCAGCATAAATAAACCTATTGTTAATCTCTTTTCCATTCAAAGGTTATCGCACTGTTCGAAAGAAATTAGATTTAATCCAACTTCCATTTCTTAGAAATTTTCTAAAAATATCGTAGCTTTGAAAAAAAAAAAAAAGAAAAAATTAAAAGCTATCGCGAAGTCGAAAAAATATCGCTGATCCACATTATTTACGGTGATAATGAATACAGTGAATCCGAAATAAACATCGTGAATCTATTAACGTAACGAGAAAAATATCGTAGATCTAAGTTAATCTAAAAAACGTTCCTTAAGTAAAAGAAATATAGTGAATGCAAAATAAAATAAAATGTGAAACGAAATATTGTGAAATATTTAACAGTGCAGTGAAGTAATTTTTCTGAGATAAAAAAGGAAGAAAGAAAATAATTAAAATAATTAAAATAATCGCGGATATACTTATTCCATGATCTTTATTCCTCGAATGAATAATATATCGTGGATATCGAAAAACGATAATTCAAGGGATTCGAAGTGATTAAAAAAATAAATTAAATAAATTAAATACAATACAAACTCGGTTAAATAATAAATCGATCCTCGTCGCTAATAATACTCGTCATGTCAATCGAGGGTGAATTTTTTCTCTCGATCACAGGATCCATCGAATACGCGGAATTTTACGACATCGACAACGCCTACTGCAAATACGGATTTCACTTTGGCCCGGAATGGAGCGTGGTCGCGGTGAGTTATTTTGTTTAGTCATTTGACACGACGTCACATCGACGTTGACGTGATTCCAAAGGGGATTTTAAGCCGTCGATCGGCCACTGACTTGTGCAAATTTCCATCAGGGTATCGAGGAGGGTTTGACACAGATATGCAAGTGCAGCGATGACCCGCGAAATCTGGCAGTTTGGAATTTCCCGCTGGAAGTCACGTTCAAGAGTACTAATCCGTATGGATGTGAGTCGATGCTTGATTTGTTTGAACGTTTTCGCACGCTTGGTCGCGCGCGATTCTATTTTTTCAAAACTGTAGATTTTTCTTTTATATTTGTTTTATATTTGTGGTAAAGCTTTGGTATTAAATTTCGATTCGACATAATGTTATTTGTTCACATTTTTGTTGTTGCACAGTTTACGTATTCGAGGATTTGTCCCGTTGAAATTTGCAATAAAATATTATAAATTCTCTCGTTTAATTAATTAGTTTGGTGAACGAAATTAGGCTGCATTCATATTCATGAATTGTTATAATTGAAGAATGCAGAGAAGATACGCAAAGATGCGTAAAATTAAAATTACAAGTAAATCTAAAGTAAAATAAAATTCATTATTTTTTAACAATTTTATAAACAATTCGATCAATATATTAGAAATTAGAAATCAGAATGGGGAAAGAAGGAAGAAAATCAATTGTTATAAATAATTAAAAAGAAAAAAAGAAATTTTGCCATATCTCTTCCTTCCATTCTTTATAATTCAATTTATACTGAAAATTATGAACTTGAAATGCGACGTAAAATATTTGAAAACGTCATGTCAATTTTTTTTTATCTTCTAAGCCATCCACGCTGTCAACTTTAATTAAACACGAATGAGAATACTATGAATGAAAATACTTGGAATGAAAAAAAATCCTAATAATATTGAAAAATTCTTTTAATAAAACTGGAAAAATAAAGCGTAAAAATCATTTATTTATTCTCTATATGAAATTCTAGGGCCCCAATTAATATTGTCTGTTTATGGGTTGGATGTCTTTGGCCACGACGTCATCAGAGGATATGGAGTGTGTCATTTGCCGCTGAAAATAGGTCTCCATGAGAAAAGGTATTAGATTATAACCAGTCTTTATTATTTCACAGTGCAATTTAACACCATGTTATTATTACTTATTGCCACACCTCGGTCATATCAATTAACGATACTTCAATCTAAGAGATAAATGAAAATTATCATCAATGACCACGATGCACATTCCTGCTGATTTTCTAACTTTTATAATATTTGGTAGCTAAATCAAGATAGAGAAACTATCTTGAAATAAATAATTTAGTCACGTTTGAATTATTTAATGTGATATTGTCAAGAAGGCATGCATGTTTAATTATTTCCTAAATTTATCCAGTTCTACGAAAATAATAGTTCGTAGGAATGAATCGTAGAATCAAATTTGAAATTCTTTCAATTTTTATTATTATTTTTCTTTTATTTAAATTAAGCAGGAACTTTCGATTAACGATTCCACGATGAAAATAACTAAAATTTTCCACGATTGAATTGTTGAAATATTTTTTATCGAAAATAAGAAGATGGAAAAATTGAAAAGTAAAGTAGAACCTAATTCCAAGACTAAATAAAAACAGTCTTAAATAAAGCGAATCGATGATCGCGTCCAACTATAACGCCACGATCCTATAGAAAACAAAAAAGAAAAGAAAGAAAAAAAAGCCACGATTCATCTTCTCTACAATCATCGTTCGCGCAAGAACAAAAATAAATCTCCCCTAAATACCTAAAACCGCAAATAACACAATCCAGAAGCTTACTCTCAGAAAACAAACATATTCCAAATTCTCGAAATTATATTCCCATTTATTATATTCACTTCGAAATCTTCCCATCAAATTTCGAGACGCCCCCTCGAATATCTATATCCATTCGAACACCCCGAACTATTTACCAGAATGAAACCCACCTAATTATTCGCATAATTATTACGTCGTATCTCGAGCAATCTCGGGCCACCTGGCAAACATCGAACCACCACCGCCAAGGCTTAATTAGCTGTAGTCCAACCCTTCTAGTCAGTGGCGAGCATCGATGAAAACAACGATGAAATTCTTGCAGGGTATCCGTCTACGTGCCAGAATCTTCATCGATGTTGCAACGTTTCGCAGCCTGGTTAACCGGAAGAAGGCCAGAATTAATTGATCCAACGATATTGGCCACTGGTGGTGGTAGAGAACGTAAGGCAATATTTCGAGTTTCACTTTCAGTTTCCACTTTCCAGATCTCATCCCGGTGGCTATCCCCACTGACGTTAAATTAATTGAATTTGCAAAGATTCAGAGTATTAAATCGATATACGTCGCGGACAGAAAGGAATTAAACTGCCCTTCTCTCTCTCTCTCTCTCTCTCTCTCTCTTTGGTGTCGAATCTGTGACGCGAGTTAATCGATACGTCTAACTTTGCTGATATCAATTGTTACCAAGATTCGGCCATGCACTGTTTTTCCTCTTTGAAAATGTCGAACGTGGGCTTGTCTCCTTCGGCATTGTATCGATGAGAATTTTTGCCCCGGGGTTATTCCGTTTTTTGGACGGTGGTAAGTTTTTTCTTTCTTTTTTTTTTTTACGCGAGTCTCGTTGGCGCTGCAAAGAATTCTCTTTCGATTTTATCGAATTTTGATCGTATTTCTGATATATATATTTTTTTTTGCAAGTAAATGCTTGGTTTCGTAAATACTGAAGGTTCGAAGGATAAAAGGGATGTTTCTTTTTTGGAGAAATTTGGTTGGGTGGCTTTCGTATTTTATATACGTTTTTCTAAAAAAGTTTCGTAAAATTTGGTAAAAACAGAATTCAGACGATGGAGATAAATATTTCGAGCATTATAAATCGAATCTCGAATTTCCACGCGCGACAATTTATTAACAATTCTTATCTTCGTGAAAAATATATTTCAAATCACCACCTCCGTGAATATATAAAACCATCAAGACCCACCCTATATCGTGACGTAATTAAATTCAAAGGTGTCATAATTAAAAAGAAATAATAATAATAATAACAACAAATAAAATAATAAAATAAGAGAATAATTCCAAGAAAAATCCATTTTTTAATTAGATCGGGAGAGTTTTATGAGAAATCGTCGCGAGCGAAATTTACGATTTTCGCGATTCCGAAAGTGTAACGCGGAATAAAGTGGTTTGAATGGAAGCACTTGCGCCTCGGAAACACGGTTTATTTTTCACGACTCCCAGACGCCATAAACCATGGCCGAGAAGCTACGCGCACCTGATGTTTTGCCACCCGAGTTTAATAACTCGTTTTATAATTGCAGTCACGCGCATGAGAGTGGAGGGTATTGTTACCGTAACGTTCAACGTAGTGCTGAAAGATTTCTTCAAGTTGGGATACAACAATGGCGATCATCAAAAAAAGTAACGAGATATTTCCTTGGCTTGAATCGAATGATTACGGCACTTCCTTCTATTCGAAGGAGAAGGGTGATAGAAGGGGAGACGAAAGAAAATTTATATCGTTCACTGCCAATTTAAAATCAATCGTTCGTACAAGTTAAATGTTAGCGTTAGATGTATAGATTTTTGTGTCGATGCGTATTTTTTCTACATTAATAAAATAGCTTTAATATTATTAGAAATAAACGTACGTAATTTATTTTATAATTCGAGAGGAAAAAGTAATAAAATTACGAAAAACTTGAACTTGTTATAATTTTAAAGATGATGATGATAATCGGATCGATGGATGAAAGATCGTTAAAAAAAACGGAATCGTACTCTTTAAAACCCGATTTCGATTTATCTTAATACGACTTCCGGTTGCCGAGATAATATCGTCGCGTAAAATGATGATAAGAAAGCGATACGGTTAAATGGAGATTAAGAAAGATGTAGAGAAAAAATGTAAGAGAAAGATATTTTTTAATAATTTTTATTATCTTCGTCCTTATTGCAATACTCTGATTTCTTGTTCGCATCTCACTCACTAACCTATCCCAAACTTTAGATAAGCTGATTAATAGATACGAGTTTCTGGTTTATTTCTGGAAGAATGTATGCAAGAATAAACGAAAGATTCATTCATAACTTCTCCATTATCTTAAACGTACTATAAACTCTTACGTACTATAAACTCTTGCAATTCGGAGATATTGGGATAAAACAAAAAGTAACTATAATAATTTTTTTTCTATTTGGATTCGACAAAAATTTTAATTTCTCTTCATATGTATTTTCTTTCTGTGAAGTTTTAAATATATAAGTTCTTGAAAAAATGAAATTTATTTTAAGTCTGAAAATAAGAGACAAGAATTTGATAAAAAACTTTTATAACTTTTCGATAATGGAGAAAATAATTTGTGAATCTTTCGATTATCGGTAATGTTTTCAAAATTTAACACGATGATACTATGGTAGAAAAAAATGCAAGGAAGGAAATGAAATTTAAAAAAGAAATTTTTCTTTAAAAAATTCTATCCTGAAAGACGAAAGGCTTATATAAACTTTATTCTTTTAACTTATCTTTTAATTTCTTTTAATTTATTTGTCTATATAACCGTGCTCGTTTCTAAAATTCTACGAATTATTATTTCAATAAATTATTTTATATTTCTATTCTCTCTGATTCAATCCTTTCGGTAATTTCGTAGTATGTGCATATACAATTAGATAAAATATGCCATATAGGATATGAACATGTTTCATTTATGATTGAAATTTTTAATATAAAATAATTCAATAATAAAATAATATGACGTACAAATTTATTTATCAGATTCATATATTTCTAAAAGGTTTTTATTTATAGGTGAAAGAATTAATTAAAAAAAAAAAAAAAGAAGAGAAAAAGAAATTATATATGAAAAATTATTTCTCTTTTTTAATCTTAAAAACAGCAAGAAAATTTTTCAAACAGCAAAAAAAAGAATATTTCAGATAACAATATACATTTCTACTTTGCGAAATTTTTTTACAGAAATCAGACGCGTTTGTTATGTTTATCACGATTAAAAAGGACTTAATAATCCTAATGAAGCAATGGAAACACAGAAAGTAAATACCGACATAAAATGCAAATTAACGAGCACCGCCTGAAGAAAGTCTGATCTCTTTGAAATGAGTTGCGTAATTATCGCGTAAGAAAACTCAGAAAAACACTCAAGAAAACAAATATATTCATAACAATGTTTTTTAAAGTTTATGAAACATTCGCGATGTATAACAAGCCTAAACTAGATTGAAAAAGCAAAAATATATGCAATTGATGACAAGATTGCATTAACATATTTTATGAAATATTGTATATCATTACCAAAAAAAAAAAAATATAACAAAATCAAATAAAAAATGAATATTATTGTATATACAACTATTGAAATAATTATCTTCTTTATGTAATACTTAAAAAAAAATAAATCAACATGTATCAAAATGTGACTTACCGTTCGTAGATAACACCATGCAATTTACTACCTTTTCGATCCTCCATTGCAATGACGAAACGTATCGACGCTCACAAATAAAACGCGCGTATTCTAACACACTCGCGAATACAATAAACGCACTTTAAACACTCGCGAATACAATATACGTACTTCAAAACTAACTCGTGAATGCAATATATGTACTTTAAACAATCGCGGATACAATGTATATACTTTAAATACTTAAAAAACACCTGTACGATTTTAAATAATGTACGAAATTGATCGCGTGTAATTGCGACATATTTACGCCGTACAAAAGTCGAAATGCGAACACGAATGCAACACGAACGTACTTTAAACACTCGCGAATACAATGTGCACACTTTAAATACTTAAAAAACACGTGTACGATTTTAAATAATGTATGAAATCGATCGCGCGTAATTGCGACATGTCTACGCCGTACGAAAGTCGAAACGAAACTGAGTCCCCCCCACCAGTCGAGCGTGGCTCGGCGGGCAAAGTCACGCGTTGTGTCGATAACTTTGCGCGAAAACAAAATATTTCAAATTTATATAATATTATAACTTATAATATCGTTAATTTAATAATTTATAATAATTTATAATATTATAAATAATTTATCTGTAATTTAAATAATTTATATTTTTATTATTAATATCGATTAATTATTACATCGATTAATTCAATATAATAATTTATGATATTATTAATTTTATGAAAAATTTATTCTAATGATTTACCAATATTTTATAATATTAAAAATTACATTTTGTCTTTTTTAATTTTATAAAAACAAAATAATAATTTAAATAAATTTTAAATATTCAAATATTACATTCCACAAACATGTAAATATAAATTTTATTATTTTATTAAATTATTATATTATTTTTATTATTAATAATTAAAAATTGCATCACATTGAAAATGACATACATCAATAATCTGATATTATAAAATAATAAAAACAATCTACATACGCGATTTACAATTTCACGTTAAAATTTCATTTCGAGTCCATTACCAATATTCCAACTTTAAATTATTATATCGAACCGATACATTAAACACTCGAAACGATATCAAAATAGAAACTCCCTAGACACGAGACATGAAAATGCATTAGAATTCTACTCCATATACCTTGCCCGTGTTAAGACCACTTAAAACATACGACTTACTCTCGTCAAATATATCATACTGTTCAACGACTTACCAAACGACCCACTTAACTACGGAACTAAATCCGATCGAGACGAATGGAAAAGCGGGGACCGTGAGCGAATTAAATCCAACGATTCGAAGCCTCGCTCGTGACACTCGCGCCTTTTACCTTTCATTTATTGCTTTCTAGAAGAGCGAGCAATCACCTTTGAGGCTGGCGAAGCGTAAACTACCTATGAGCTTCGCTCTCGTGTACAAGACATTATGCACTGTTCGTGATAAGTGAATCGAAAGCAATGTTGCGTTTTGCAATTTTCTTTATGCACGATGGATTTAATATAAATTCATGGAGCGTGTTATAGAGGGACGAAAGCAAACATCGAGATACGAAACTCGTCTCAAAATGCAATAATTTAAAGTAATTCGAGGGAAAAAATTGCTGGTTGATCATTTTAGCACGAAACTTTTTCATCGAGTTTCAGATATCTTGTTCCATTGTTTCGGTCGACAATTTACACGGAGGATGAGTAATGAAATAGAAAATAGGGCGGTTAAATATCTATATTCTATAAAAAAAAAGAGAAGAGTTTTTCAGGGAAAAGTTTGTAAAAGTGTTATGTATAAATATTATCTGGAAAGTTAAACATTATAACGAGAGAAATTTTTTCGTGGGATATTTTTTCTTTAGAGGCTGTAAAAAAGTTATGATGAGAATTATTTGTTGAGAAGTAAATTATTAATTATAAAAAAAATTCATAAGATCAATGAAAATGATTATTTTTAAGTGTCTGTTGCATTTCGAATAATTTCGAAACAGTATCGAAAAGTCGATACTGTTTAAGTTCTATTATATAAAAGAAATTTAATTTTTATTAATATTTTTGTAATATAATAAAAGACAGAATTGTGCAGAATTAGAACAAATATCTATATCTTGCATTCTCTCAATTCATTTTATCGAATTATTGGAACAGAAAATTTACGATGGTGAACTGTAGACATAACAAGTATATCCTGATGTATCATAAATTCAATCGAGAGTTATTTCAAAGTTACTAAAAAGTTATTAACGATAATAAATTTTATACGAGCATCGTTACAAAAAATGAATTTCAGAAATAGAATAGAATAATTTTTTTTACGTTAATTAAGTATAATTATTTTACAATCTTAGTATAATACGTTAATTGCTCTTATTTTTGATTACTGGATTTTTGTTATAGCTACATTTTAAGAAAAGTGATTCTATATAAAAATTTTAATAATTTTAGAAGGCAAATAATATTTAATTTGACCAGAATAATGATCAAAAAGAGATATTTGAAAGATAATTCAATTTTATAAGAAAAATATTCTAATAAATAATAAATATTTATAATGGAAATAGATTAAAAAGAATGAAAATAAAAGAGAAGGAAAACAGAAAAGTTTTCTTATTTTAAACGATAATAAATTCTGAATTGCAAATTTCAATTAGGTTTTACGATATAATATGCAACAACGAATTTGATATTCGATAAATCCATATTTATCGTATATGTAAGAAATATTATTCTCGTTTAATTATATTTCCATTCATTATATGAAAATCCTATTATTATTTAAAATGAAAAGAGATTTGGTTAGATTTCGTAAAATGTGATATGAGTACATTTTGAGAGTAAATTTTAACGAATAATATATACTGTATCATCAAATTTTAACTGAAGTAACTCAATATGAACAGAAATAATGCATAGCTAACTTTATTAAATGTTGAATAATTATATTTGCTAGTATGTTCAATAAATATTTCATTATCTTATAAATTTATATTGAATTTACTATATAATGGTTAATCTTTTTAGAAAATATATTCTCATAAATAATTTAATGAAAAATATGATCCATGAAAACTTACTTTTTCTTTTTCTCCAGTATTATATTTACCAATTTCTCATGATAGTTATCTTTTTCATTTATATAATCCAATTTGAATCTTCATACAGAAAATAGGATAAGAATGAATATTACATCTTTCATCTTGATTTCTTTTCTTTTTTTATTCTTTTTACATGTCATTTATCTAATGTTTTTCTCTCATTAACAACAGTTCTTCCCTAAAATATTGTTATTAAAAATATATTTATATGTATATATATATCAATTTCTCTGTAACGATATTTCTTAATTAATTTTTAATTAAATCGATATCCTTACATATTATTTATTGTATCATAAAATAATTCATTCTTATATACATTTGTTATACGCAGTCCCTTATCTTACAATCTTGAATTACACTCGTAAGTGTGACTTGTAAAATTTAAATAAAAAAATTTACAACAATAATAATAAATTGTAAAATAATATTAATATATTATATCTCAATATATATTATAGTATAATATAATATAATTTAAAATAATATAATAACAATATTATTATTATGTTACAATATTAAAATTTTTCAAGCCACATAGTGCAAAAGGACGTAATATAATTATATATATATAAAATATCATATATCTATAATGAACGGTTTAAAACTTTTAGGTACGAACGTGTTAAAATAGCAAAAAGCTGCTGCTTTTTATAGTTTCAAAAAAAAAAAAAAAAAAAAAAATACATAAGTCAAGGGGTTAAAGTAAAATATCAGAAATTTGTCGCCATTCTCCATTCTGAGAAACAATCAAGAAACTGATATGCTAATTTTCTAGAATATAATCTACTTATCATAACAACTAATATTAAATTAAAATACTGATGAAGTTGCACACGCAATTATTATACCTTTTTGCGTCCATGTCTTGTACACTCGTTTGTCGAATTCGATTAAGAAAGTATTGATTGACACACGATGTGATATCCATAATTCTTTTAAATTTATATCTCAATGCATAATTTTAATTATTAATGAAAAATAATATTCATAATATTTTAAATGAAAATTCATTTGATACTTAAAAAAAAAAAGAATTCATAATTAATAAATTATTAATAATTTGTTAAACTTTATAATGCATTCAAGTTTTAAAAAAACTGAAAATAAATAAGATATTTAATAGTTACTATTAATTATTTTTTCCTTTTCCGACGTATATCAATATATATAGCTGGTAAAAATGTTTTGTTGAAATTTCTTTTTCTTATATTTCCTTCAAGATAAAAGCATATCTATTATTAACGCATTTCTAATTGTTCATTTAGAATTATTTCGATTTGAAAACGACAGAAGGAGATTTTCCTCTACAATTTTCAAACTTTCGATAAATTTTGCTGAAGATATACATAGACTTGCATCGAACAAACGGTGGGTTTTATAAAACGCGCTGCCCTGTATTTCCGTGTGGACTAGAATCGTTGGAAAATACACGTTGCATTATCACCAATGAAACCTGAAACAAAATTTAATCTAAATTTCACACATTATGCACGTACAATTAAATAATTTTCAGATATTCATAAACCTAAGAATTTAAAAAAAAAATGGCATGATTGATGATTAAATACAATGAAACTACATAATATTTTAAAATTAAAATTAAAATATTTGTAAAATAAAAATTATAAACTTTGAATTCTCTATAAATATCTTAATGATATTCCAAATTCAATTTTTTAATTTACCTCATAAAATATATCTACATTTGTTAACGTTTTGCAATCATATATCCCCTTTGTCACATTTTAAAAATTAAAATATTTGAAAAGTAAAAATTACAGAATTTTCATTAATAACATTCTTCCTATATTTACATTATACCTTCTATAAAAAGTATGATTCAAAAGTATGATCAGAGATTATTTATCTATCTAAACATTTCCACGTCGTTACAATAAATCACATTTCCCCTTCATCTCCACAATTTGAAAATTAAAATATTTAACAAATGTATGTAATTTCATCCAAAATTTCTTCTCCAATATTTAAAAACTATATTCACTGCAAAAAAATATAAACATCAGAGATAATCCAAATCCAAATAATACTTCTATTCCATTTCTGTCACGATAAATTAAATCTCACCTCACCAAGTGAATCCACAGATTGATCATCTCACCTGTTACTGTTCAACCTCGGTTAAGTCGTCCTCGTACCCAACTTCCCTCACCTTGATGGTCGAGAAAGTGTTGAGGAACTCCAAGACCACCCCGTTAGTCCATCCGAACCCTGTTTGCACGTTGTATTCCCCTCCACCACCGCCTTGGCCAGGCACGATCGAGTCGTACTGCAATTAAAACGCTAATTACACCAAGTAATCACGCGTTCTTGTTTCTCAAAGGATTACAGCACACCCCCTTCGTCCGGTAATTAAGTCATGCAGCTTCTCC